GATGCGGGAGTAGGAGAGGCTGATCATGCGGACACCTGCAGGGAGAAGGGCAGGGGATGCAGCCCCCCAGGCCTGCCCAGCCTGGTGGGGGTCCCCAAACACCCTCCTACCTGTCTTGATGACGTTGTGCCTCAGCCGAATGATCAGGGTGTAGGTGCCATCGGCCTGGAACTTGTCCCCAAACTGGTCAAGGACTTGGTTGAACTTGGCCAGGTTCCCCGTCCTGACGGCTGGAGGGAAGAAGGATGGAATGGGGGAAGGAGAAAGGCTGGGGAAAGCGAGTCAGGGCTGGCTGACTTCCTCCTTCTCCTCCTTCCCAAGCGGCATCTGCACCCAATTCCCAACAAGCGGAGAAGAGAATTCCCACTGGGTCCCTTCCCACTCAGGACGTTCCATGATCCCCTGACCCTGCAGGAAGGGCAGGCAGGGGTGGGCACACATACCCTGGGTCAGCAGGAAGTAGGGCATGAGCGAGCGCTTGAGCGAGGGCTGCCGGAACTGGAGCCTGTCTGGGATCTCCCCGAGGAGCAGCTCCACCACGATGAGCAGCTTGTGCACCTGGGGCAGAGCAAGACTCTGAGTGAGTTCCCATGAGGCCTGAAACCATCCCTGCCCCTGTGCCCTCCAACAGGTCCTGCACCATCCCCGTGGGGCACAAAACTCCAGGAGATCCCAAACCCATTCTTGTCCCTGTGGGGCCTGGAAGGTCACAGATTTGTCCCTGGGAAGTTCCAAACCTGGGAGGTCCTGCACCTGTCATCCCTGCAGGGCCCAACACCCTGGTCCCAAAACCATCCCCATGGAGCCCAGCCCTGGGGAGTCCTGGACCTGACCCTGGGAAGTCCGAAATCCCAGGGGACCTGACTCCTTGGGGCCGGACATCCAAGGAGGTCCCAAACCAAACTCCACGGGGCCTGACATCCCAAAATGTCCCAAACCTGGGAGGTGCCAAACCAAACTCCACAGCACCTGACATGCCAGAAGGTCCCAAACCTGGGAGGTGCCAAACCAAACTCCATAGCACCTGACATCCCAGAAGGTCCCAAACCTGTGAGTTCCCAAACCAAACTCCACAGCACCTGACATCCCAGAAGGTCCCAAACCTGTGAGTTCCCAAACCAAACGCCACAGCACCTGACATCCCAGAAGGTCCCAAACCTGTGAGTTCCCAAACCAAATGCCATAGCACCTGACATCCCAGAAGCTCCTACATCCAAGCCCTGTGAGATCCCAACCCCGAGGGGTCTCAGACCCAAGCCAGGGGGGTCCTGCCCCCTCCTCACTCACCGTCTGCTTGAAGCCCACGGCCGTGTGCTGCGGGGCCTTGCGCAGGGCGTTGGTCATGGTGCGCCGTGCCTCAGAGTACTCCAGCTGGATGGCCTTGATCCGCCCTGCGCCCACACGGGGCGGGTGGGGAAAGCCACCCAGTGAATCCAACCTGACCTACACGGATGGGGCTCCAAATCCTGCCTGGAAGCCCCACCTCCAGCTGATCAAAGGGGTTCTCTGAGGAACCGGAGGTGCCAGGAGGCAGGGCAGGCACCGAGCCTCGCTCACCTGTGTAGTACAGGTACCGAGCCCACTCGTTGTTGTTGGCCTGCTCGGGGAACACGGACTTGGAGACGAGTTTCTCGGCCTGGTCGTAGAGGTTGTAGTGGAGGTAATTCCTCAGGAGCAGGTTCAGGAGCGTGGCCTGGCCGTCGGCGTCGTGGCGCAGCGTGGCCGTGCGGAGCCGGGCGTGCAGGAAGCTGCGGGGTGGGACAGGGAGTCAGGGAAGAGGGAGGAAAACAGGGAGGGGATCAAGCTCAGGGACAGCCCCCCACAGGACCCATCCCACCTCCGGACCACGTCGAGTTTGTTGAGGAATTCGTAGATGCGGGAGTGGTAGTAGTAGCACTTGGCCACCACCAGGTCCAGGGCCCGGCGGTTCTGGGAGCTGATCTTCTGCATCAGGTCATCGGACACCTTCTGAGCCTGAGGGACAGCAAGGGAGCTCAGAGCAGGGGGATTGATCCCAGGAGGGGCACAGACCACCCACGATGTGGGGAACAACCACACACAGCTGGGATGAGGGCACAGCACGGGGCACAGCCAGGGGAGCAGCTCAGGGGTCTCACCTCGGGGTACCTCTTGCTGTTCATCAGGTAGATGACGAGCAGCAGCTGCAGGTAGGCCTCCACCTCTGGCAGGAGAGGGGCTGAGGCTGCTTTCCCCGTCCGTGGGCGGAACTGCAGCTCAGCTTCTGTGTCCATGGACTGAGGGGAGAGAGAAATTCGGGATCACTGTCCCCGTGTGGAGACAGCTCTGCTCCAGGTGTGACAGGAGCCAGCCCAGGACTGCAGGGACCTGTCCCTGCTCACATGTGTGGCTGAGCAGAGGGGCTGCTTGTCCCCAGTGTCCCCAAACCCCACTGCACTACTCCAGAGGCTCCCTGGAGAGGGAAAAAAATCATGGAATTCCAGGCTTTTTTGGGTTGGAGGAGCCTTCAAATCCACCCCTACCCTGCCATGGGTAGGGACACCTTCCACTAAACCAGGCTGCTCCAAGCCTTGGCCAACACAGCCATGGACACTTCCAGCGATGGGGCAGCCACAACTTTCCTGGGAAATCCATTCTGGTGCTTCACTGCCCTCACAGGGAAGAATTTCTGGCCAATATCCCATCTAATCCCACCCTCTGTCAGTGGAAAGCCATTCCCCTTGTCCTGTCACTCCAAGCTCTTTGTACACAGTCCCTCTCCATCCTTCCTGTTGCTTCTTCAGATACTGGGAGGCCACAATTAGGTCACCCCTAAACCTTCTCTTCTTCAGGCTGAACAATCCCAGTTCTCCCTGTCCTTCCTCACAGCTGAGCTGCTCCATCCCTTTGATTATCCTCTGGATTCACTCCTACAACTCCACACCCTTCCTGTGCTGGGACCCCTGAGCTGGGGCAGTGTTGTTGCAGGCTCCCAGCTGGGGAATAATTAGCATTGACTCTGTGATTGCAGAGGGCTGATCAATTGTTTTATTCTACTGTATTATACTATGCTTATTAAGAAGCTCATCACCTTTAAAGACTTAACTGGTCAGTCTCTTTAAACACCATCATCAGTGTCTAATCAAGAAATCACCCTTTGGTACACAATCTCCACAACACATTCTACAACAGGTGCAACAAGTGGAGATAAGAATGAGAAACATCTCTTTTCTCTGATCTTCTCACAGCTTTCGTTGTTTGCTCTCTGTGGCCAGAGAGCTGCTACCACAGGGCAGCTCTGCTGGGGGCTGTCACCAGAGCAGGGCAGAGGTGAGGGCAGCAGGTTTCCCTACCTCCTCCAGGAATCCCAGCAGGAAGTCCCTGACAGTGCAGTTGGAGGTGAAGAAGCCGTGGATGGCCTTGTGCAGCACGTTGGGGTTGAGGCGGCGGGAGGTGGAGGGCAGAGCCCGCAGTGCTCTCAGGACATAGCGGGGCTCCTTCCCCGACACCGCCTTCTCCAGCTGCTTCACGTGCTCCTTGATGTCTGTGGGGTATTATACTATGCTTATTAAGAAGCTCATCACCTTTAAAGACTTAACTGGTCAGTCTCTTTAAACACCATCATCAGTGTCTAATCAAGAAATCACCCTTTGGTACACAATCTCCACAACACATTCTACAACAGGTGCAACAAGTGGAGATAAGAATGAGAAACAATTCTTTTCTCTGATCTTCTCACAGCTTTCCCCAGGAAAATGCCTGGGGAAGTCGTTGGTTGCTCTCTGTGGCCAGAGAGCTGCTACCACAGGGCAGCTCTGCTGGGGGCTGTCACCAGAGCAGGGCAGAGGTGAGGGCAGCAGGTTTCCCTACCTCCTCCAGGAATCCCAGCAGGAAGTCCCTGACAGTGCAGTTGGAGGTGAAGAAGCCGTGGATGGCCTTGTGCAGCACGTTGGGGTTGAGGCGGCGGGAGGTGGAGGGCAGAGCCCGCAGTGCTCTCAGGACATAGCGGGGCTCCTTCCCCGACACCGCCTTCTCCAGCTGCTTCACGTGCTCCTTGATGTCTGTGGGGGGCACACGGGCACCCCTCACCCCAAATCCTCTGCCAGCAGCACCCCGGAGCACAGCCAGGGCTGTGCCCTCACCCCGTCCTGCTGTTCTCAGCTCCCTCTGCCCTTGGTGTCCCCAGTGACCCCACCTGCCCTCGCTGTTTGGAGCGGGGGGCTGGGGAGGCCCTTGCAGAGTTTTCTCCCTCCTCACCCCCACGGGGTCCCACTACAGCAGCCCCCCTGTCCCTCACAGTCTGTCCCCCCGCAGAGGGGACACCCTCACAGAGCTGCCCCAATTCCCTTCTACAGTGACTGCCCCAAACACAACTCCATCCCCCACTCTTCAGTGACTGCCCTAAACCAACCTCACCCTTCCTCTCCCTCACACACTGCCCCAAACACCCTCCTCCAGAGTGTCTCCCGCACACAAAACACAGCTCCCGCCTCCCTTTCCTTCCCTAAATCCCTTTCCCCACAGCGACACCCCCCAAACACACCTCCCCTCTCCCTTCCCCACAAGGTGCCCCCCATCTCCCCTTCCCCAGAGTGTCCCCCTACATTACACTCACATTTCTCTTTCCCTCAGAGCCCCCTCCTTGATCCCCCCCATTCCCCTCCTCCAACACC